CAGTGGTAGGTTGAAATCGGGAAGAGATGTGACAGTGCTTCCCATGATGTAGTACAGATTCAAGGGTCTTAACTCACTGAAGCCACACGGATAATGACCAACTGAAGGAAAACATCGGCGAAAGTCAGATCTGTGGCCCGTGCTTCAAATAGAACCTCTGAGCTTGTGTTTCTCTAATGTAACTAATAACTGGCTTACAGAATTAAGAAACGTCAGTTATTGACCAAGAATTTGCAACTTAACGAAAAAAGAATTTGCAGCTTTTGTCTAAATCTTTGGGAACTTAAACTAGAATATAGTGGAGAAAAGTTAGGGAAGTGGAGGCTTGTGCACGGGTTATACTTGGGTGCAAAGAACTCTCCGTGTAAGCTGCTGGGGGCTTTGTTCTGTGCAGCTGGCTCGCTGCTATTTCCTGTGCTGTGTGAGAACTGATTTCTGCTAAGCCAGACAACCTCACACGAGTGCAGAGAAACTACATTAGAGCTGCACTGAGACAGGAAAAGTAAATGGCTTCTGGTTGCATTTTGTTCACGTGTGGGGGTAAAGGCATCGTTGGGTAAAACTTAGGAAATTTTAGAATTATGTAGAGGACAGCTAATGTGAAAAGCAGCTCTTTAATAAACTGCTAAAATCTTAACACATCAGTGTCTTTGAGAAAGGGCACCATGGGGTGAAGATAGTATCTTAAGTGCCAATCTTCAACAGTGGTGGAGGGCCATCAGAAGACAGTGGGAAGGCTTCCATGTCCTACCGGGGTGCCGGAGGTGGGAAGACTGAAGCTCTAACATCTCTCTGTGCTCTGGTTTTGATGTTCTCAAGTACTGCAAGGACGAGAACCAAGGTATGGAAAGAGAGAAAGCACAAAGGAAGCCAGACAATACTTGCTATTACTAGCACAACTAGCCTGCGAACAAGGGCTTTAAACCTGGTGTTTTCCCCTTCTTAGCCCCAGCACTGAGAAATGAGAGGTCTATAATGGGTTGGTGTATTTCAGCAGTCAGACTCTGCCTATTTGGGAGGATGTGCTGTTTTGTGTGTGGGTTTTGGAGACAGGGTCTCCTTATGTAAGTGTTACAAGTCTTTCTCTGTCCCACCAGCCAGCTCCCAAATAATGTCATGGAGACTTCTTATTAATTATGAAAACTTGGCTTGGGATTGTCGGGCACCAGTATCAAACCATTGGAATGCGGGATGATTGCTCCCAAATCTAGCTCAGTGAGGCTGCTAACTGAATTTGCTTGCAGGAGCATAGGTGACTCAACGTCAGCAGCGTCATTGCAAAGCCCTCCCTGCCCAGCTCAGCTGAGGACTTGTAAAAACCACATCACTCCTGAACAGGACTGCAGGCAGGTCAGCAGACCCAGGGGAGGGCCTAATAAATCTTCTGTTTTAGGAGTTTCCTGAGACTTGTGCGTTGTACTTCATTTCTGAACCTTGGGGAGCCTCTCTCCAGGAGGAAATTCTTCATTTAGGAGGGAATCGCTACCAGTTGTGGGCATTGTGAGCAGGATTATGTAATGTTACAGTTGAAGGATTTCTCAGGAACAAGCCAATTGGGGCTGTAGCACTTGAATTTATTGTTTACAGCAGTGGTTCTCAACATGTGGGTTGTGACCTCAAACAACCTTCTCACAGATGTTGCCTAAGACAATCAGAAAACACAGGTATTTATATTATAATTCATAACTGTAGTTTTGCTATGGTTATGAAGTAGCAATGAAAATAATTTTGTGTTTGGGGGTCACCACAACATGAGGGACTGAAATAAAGGGTCACAGCATTAGGAAGGTTGAGAACCACTTATCCAGAGGCTGACCGAGTGACTTTGATCTTGGTGTTACGTACAACAAGCAGTGACCTGGACAGAAGGATAATTTGTGGTGTGGGGGTGGCGGCTCATGGTGGGATGCAGTAGGATGGTGCGGGATGCCCTCAAGGTACTCAACAATACACCATTTAAAAGGGATGAATTGGTTATTTCTGGAATTTTCCATTAATATAGTCAGACAGTGCTTGTCCTAGGCAACTGAAACTGCCGCTCAGGAGCACCCATGTCAGTGGGCTTTGGGCTGAATGAGTTCATTTCCCACTGGGAGAAAAGACAGAATGTAGCCAGCACACCGCCAGGAGACAAGACTGGACCTCTTGTTGCCTTGGTTTTGTTGTAGGGGGAAAAGTAGAGGCCAAGGCATGGGGAAGAATGTGGTTTTATTTGTTTTCTTTTTCTTTTTCTTTTTTTATTGATTATATTGAGCTCTACATTTTTCTCTGCTTCCCTCCCTGTCTCTCCCCTCCTCTCTTCAGCCCTCCCCCAAAGTCCCCATGCTCCTAAGTTACTCAGGAGATCTTGTCTTTTTCTACTTCCTATTTCCTATGTAGATTAGATCTATGTAAGTCTCTCTTAGTGTCCTCATTGTTGTCTAAGTTCTCTGGGATTGTGGTTTGTAGGCTGGTTTTCTTTGCTTTATGTTTAAAAACCACCTATGAGTGAGTACATGTGTCTTGTTTTGTTTTTCGAGATAAGGTTTCTCTGTGTAGCTTTGGAGTCTGTCCTGGAACTAGCTTTTCTAGACTAGGCTGGCCTCGAACTCATAGAGATCCACTTGCCTGTACCTCCAGAGTGCTGGGACTAAAGGTGTGCGCCACTACAGCCCAGCTGGGCAATGTTTTTATCAGACCAGAATGATGTGGGTTAAAAAGAGGAACATGGAATGTTCTCACTCATATTTGGTTTCTAGCCATAAATAAAGGACATTGAACCTATAATTCGGGTTCTTAGAGAAGCTAAATAAGAAGGAGAACCCAAAGAAAATCCTGTAGGCATCCTCCTGAATCAGGCGATGAAAGGAGACAGAGCAGAGACCCACATTGGAGCACCGGACTGAAATCTCAAGGTCCAAATCAGGAGCAGGAGAGAGAGCACAAGCAAGGAACTTAGGACCGGGAGGGGTGCACCCATACACTGAGACAATGGGGATCGGGAACTCACCAAGGCCAGCTGGCCTGGGTCTGAAAAAGCCTGGGTTAAAACGGGTTTCGCTGAACATAGCGGACAAGGAGGACTACTGAGACCTCAAGAACAATGGCAATGGGTTTTTGATCCTACTGCACCTATTGGTTTTGTGGGAGCCTAGGCAGTTTGGATGCTCACCTTACTAGACCTGGATGGAGGTGGGTGGTCCTTGGACTTCCCACAGGGCAGAGAACCCTGATTGCTTTTGGGCTGATGAGGGAGGGGGACTTGATTGGGGGAGGGGGAGGGAGAGGGGAGGCGGCGGTGGGGAAGAGACAGAAATCTTTAATAAATAAATAAATTAAAAGAATAAAAAAAAAGAATGATGTGGGTTTTGTTTGTTTTTGTTTTCATGAGACAGGATTTCTCTGTGTAGTTTTGGAAGCTGCCCTGGAATTCCTTCTGTAGACCAGGTTGGCCTCAAACTCACAGAGAGCCACCTCCTCTGCCTCCTGAGTGCTGGGATTAAACGTGTGTGTTACCACCACCCAGGTGAATTATACAGTTTTAACAAAGAAACAATGATGTGGGCAGAGACAGAATGGGCAAAATCTCAGAGAAAGAGTGTGATAGGGCAAGACAGTGCAGAGGTTTCTCCATCTTGTCTTCTTGCTGAGGCTGTTTCCAGGTGATGTAGAATTCTGATCTCCTGGACAGAGAATCCCATGACAAACTGCCTAACTCTCTTCTTGGAATCAGAGATCAAAGTATCCTAGCTGACCAATCTCAGCCTTTGTTAAAACTGCCTGTGTGTGCAGAACCTCCTCCAGCCAACAGTCATCTTAGCTGCCTGTTTGTACGGAACCCCTCTTTAGCTGGCTAACACTTATTTTAGCTTCCATTAAAATCGTTTGCTACAAACTGCTCACTCTTCGAAGCCCCCACCTCCACCCCACAGCTGCTGAGCAAGACTCCTTGACGAGGTCTCTGCCCTTAAAAACCCCATGTTCTGGACACGTGGGGCCACACCTACGTCCCCAAATACTTGGATGTGGTTCCAATTGACTGGAATAAATACGTTCAAGTCTCTATAAACTGAATGTCTGAATGTTTATCTTTAGTGGGCTTACCTGTAACAAGAGGAAGAGAACAGCATCTCTAGGAGAGAATGGGGTCCTTTGTGGCACTCAGGAAAAGTTACCTGACCCCTCTACCCCAGGTCATTCAGATGGAGTCATATCTGCTGAGGTCAAGAGGTCAGCTCAATATCTTGAGGTATTAATCTCACGATACCCTATGTTCTCCCAGAGACCAGGCATTAGCATCTAGGCTCTCGTTGCTGCTCAAAGGCATCCCCAGCTACCTCCAAGCAGTCAGAAACTATCTGCTAGTGAGTGGGGGGCTTTTGATTTTGGTTGGAGGAGGGACTTGTCTATTTTTGGTCTTCATGTTTCTACAGCTTGCTATATGCAGGGCGTATACCACCGGTTCATCGTGGTGTTATGACATCATTGTACTCTTTCTTACGAGTACCACACACCTTGGGATGTTGTTCATATGGTCCTCCAGACTGCTACCAGCCAACAGTCTCCACCCTGCTTGTAGGGCATGACCCCATGCCCATCCCAGAATGAAGGATGTCTGAACAAGATAACTTAAAGACTCCTTCCCAGATGGGTAGTGGCGGCACACACCTTTAGTCCCAGCACTTGAGATACAGGGCAAATCTCTGAGTTCAAGGCCAGCCTGGTCTAACAGAGCAAGTTCTAGGACAGCCAGAGTTATACAGAGAAACCCTGTCTGGGAAAACTAAAAAAACAAAGACAAACAAACAAAAAACCCAGCCTCAATGACAGTCTCTATCTGCTGGAGTTGAACAGTGACGACAACACCTGCGGTGTCCCAGCCTCACAGACTAGGAAGGCAAAGGTGAAGATTCACCTTGACTTTGCTCCTGAGACAGCCTGAAAAAGAAAAAAGAAAAACCCCGTCAGTTCTCTGCAGTAAAGCTTTGCGACTTAATGGGTTTTTTTTTTCCAGAGCGAAAGACAGATGAAGCCAGAGAACAGCCTGCCCACGAAGGACATATTGATTCCATCAGATCTGCCAGGACACAAGTGCGGAGGGAAGTTTTTGAAAAGTGATAAAAGAATTTCACGATTCGGCCAAAGTAATTTCTTGGCCTGGCATCTCTCAGCTCTTTGATTTAAATTCTTTCTTTTTGTGTTTTAGCAAGCGACTCTCAAAGGCAAAAAGATAGATGGTGTTTTCTATGCAGCCTGATTTTCTTTTTTTTTAATCTCAGATGAGGAACCACAGCCAGCTTCTTACATGACAGTCATTTATGTACCGAAGAGATGCAGATTTGATCAGGTCGTATAGGCTAACTGAGGTGAAGAAAAAGACCTTAGGAAGTACCTGGTTAAACCCTTCACTTTAGGGACCAGAGAGGGTGTGATCCTTGCCTGATAGCACACAGCAGGGGATCATCAGTGGCATTCCCAGCCTCTAGGTCTCTCTTCCGGCCTCACCACCCTTATTTACTCAGAAATGCAGCATGGATATTTCATTCCTAGAACTAAGAATGAAAACAATGAAACAACCCTACATGTGCAGGACAAGCAGAGAGGAGGGACGGCTGAAACCCGAAGCCTAGAGAGCTGTTTGAAGCCTCTTCCCCATGTCTCCAGTGACTGTGGGTATGGAAAAATGACTTTTGTGATTTTCTTGCATAGCCTGAGAAACCTAAATTAACGCCTAGGTGAGGAGCTTAGAGGAAGTCTCTCTCAGAACAAAGTGTGGGACTGTGGTTTGAATGTGGAAGGGGTCTCATAGGCTCGTGAGTGGGAATGCCCCATATCCAGCAGGTGGTGCCTGTTTGGGAAGGTTGTGGAGTCTTTTATGACTTGGAGACCCAAGGGAGGAAGTGGGCCATTGGAAATAGGCCTTTGGGTTTCCAAGCAAGGCCTCACTTCCTGTTTACCTTCTACTTCCGTACTGTGAACTCAGTGTGACCAGCTGCTTCATGCCCCTGCCATCTTGCCTTCCCTCTATGATGGAGAGATCCCTCAGACCATGAGCCAGAGGAAACCCTTTTTCTCTTTAAAGTGTTTTCTAGGTAATTAGCAACAAGGGAAGTAACTCATTCACACGGTTATGGTTTTGATATCAAATCAACAAATCCAAGTAGTAAACCTTCCAAAGTGTGGTGATATGAGGGGACCTGACTGGGTGTTCCTTAGTAAGGTGTGTCCCAGAGCCATGCATTGAACAAATGAGTTTCTCTGAAGCCACCAGCCACAAGCTCATTCCTACCGTGTCACCTGGGAGGGATAGACAGTATGTGGTCAGGATACAGCTAGTCATCTTCCTTTGGGATTAGTCTGACATTAGGCATAGAAATCTAGCTAAAGCTGGGTGGTGGTGGCACACGCCTTTAATTCCTTTAACCCCAGCACTTGGGAGGCAGAGGCAGGCATATCTCTGTGAATTCGAGACCAGCCTGGTCTACCAGAACTAGTTCTAGGACAGCTAGGACTGTTACACAGAGGAAACCCTGTCTGGAAACAAACAAACAAAAGAAATCTCGCTGCGGCAGGAGCTAGAATGTTGCAAGCCAGGCAGACCCTCTCTCCTTTGCATTTGTGTAAGAGAGACTGTACCTAAGTGTTATGGTATAGCATACCTGTTGAGTTTCACTGTTTATTGTTCAGGCTCACATTCGGACAAGTCAAAAGCTAATACTTTTCTTGTTGATCAACAATGGGGTCTCCCAGCTGGACAGAAACCCAGGCCTGCTTCTGTGGGACTCACTGATGCTAACTGTTGTCAGGGAAGCACAATCTCCTCCAGCCTGTTGATGTGTCCAAGTGGCCAATGTCGGTTCCCATATTGCCAATGAAGAAAGAGTTGGCGTCTTCTCCTGAGGCCATTGATATTTAACAGAGAAGATAGGTCATTGCCATGGGATGCCAACTCCCAATGTTTTTGAAAAGGTTAAAGGCTGGTGATGGATTGTTCTCTTGCTAACACAATTATGTTGCATTGGGAGGGGCTTCAGGTCTTCAAATACTTGGCAGGCTTCACACAGATCATTTCATGGTGGCCCCAAAGGCCCAACCTCCAAATCAGACAGAGGCTTCTGCTTTATATATCAAGTGATTAATTTTTTATAAAATTATTTACTATTATTATTATTATTTATAGTCCAACCACAGTTTCCCCTCCCTCCTCTTCTCTCAGTCCCTCCTCAACCTCTTCCCTGCCCATATCCACTCCTCTGTGTCTATTCAGAAAAGGACAGACCTCCCACAGATATCAACCAAACATGGCATATCAAGTTGCAGTAAGACAAGGCACCTCCCTTTGTATTAAGATGGATAAGGTAGCCCAGCATGAGGAGTAGGGTCCCAAAAGCAGTCAACAGAGTTAAAGACAGCCCCTGCTCCTACTGTTAGGAGTCCCACAAGAAGACCAAGGTACACAATTATAACATACATGTAGAGGACCTAGGTCAGTCCCATGCAGGCTCCCATGGTCGGTTCGGTCTTTGTGAGCACCTATGAGCCCAGTTTCATTGATTCTGTGGGTTTTCTTGTGGTGTCTTTGACCCCCCATTGAGTGATTCTTAATCAATGTGTGTGTACAATGAATGGTTATCCATATAAGGAAGACTAATAAACAAGATCACTGGTTCACCGGGACTTGGGTGGTTGGGTGAAAGCATTACTGTGGTCAGTTGGCATTCTGTGGAAGGATTACTGTGGTCACTTGGCATCCTGTCTAAGGACAGGGGATGTGTGCACACATCTCCTCCTCAGGGAAGCTGGGATAGGAAGCAAATACGTGGAAACTCCGCATTTAACCTTTGGAGAAATTGGCCAACTTTTTTGCACATCAGACCTACCAGGAGACATTCTCAGCGGCGTGGGCAAAGGTTCTAATTTCTCCACATGTTTTCCAATATTTTTAAAACCTGTCTCGATCATTGTCTTCCTCCAGGGTGGGCAGTGGTTAAAGCGTTGTACATCGGGCATTTGACATGCTACGGCTAAGTGGTTGTTTGGTTCCTAAGTCCAGATGGATCCCGCGTCCAGAGAAAAGGGAGCAGGAAGCTCCAGGCTGGCACAGGAGTCCACTGAAGGAGCTTCCTCATTGCTCTGTCCCCAGTCCAGGATTAGATCAAGCACACACTAGGCATGTTAGATGCTTTGAGAAAAAAAAAAAATGGCTAAACTATTTTATCCTTGTCAGTCAGCTTCTATACTTTTTTTTTTTTTAAAAAGACACATTTTGTCTATTCTATGCAGAACCAATGTGGCTATTATTAGAATTTTATTTTTTCTTGGGCGAATTCCACCTGTAACTTTTTGGTTGGATGCTTACTAAAGCTCTGCTGGTTTTGACTTCCATGGAGACTTTATCACTTATGGCAAGTGAAGATAGCAGGGCGAGTCTGTTCCAGTTGACTTTGAAAAGACGAAAAAGCAGCTGATAACTAAAGAAATTGGCTTCCTTCCAAAGAAATTGCAGAACTTCAAAAACCATCTCGGCTTCACAAGAGAGCCTCATTCAAAATAAAACATGACTCAGTGTTATCTGGAAATACTTTCGTCCTTTTTCTCTGGTTCCGAAGCTTATTTTGTATGTTTCACTTGTGGTGTTAAAGATAGTTATAATCAAGATCGCATTCTTTCTAGAACAATTTTGGAGTTTTTCTTTTAAAGTTTCCGGGATAAGCGTCAATTTAAAATAGTCGCCTCCATCTCTGCCACACCACCCTCCTCTCAAATCCAAACAACAACAAAAGACTCCACACAAGTGTTTAAAATGCTAATGATACTGTCATCCTGTCATGGGGCTTTAAAGAAGTAGGAAATATTTGCTCACACAAAATGAATCTCAATTTCCAGTTGTCCCAACCTTTATTATTTCTCTCTTAGGAAATAAAAGTGAATAACAAACTCTTAATAGATAACAAAGGAATTTTGAGTCAACCACGGAGACATGTAATTGTAATATCCCCTACGTGATTGACTGGGAAGGTTTATGGTGTTAACAAGGGAAATTGACAAAGCCAAGTTAGGAACCAGGCAAGGCCAACCATTTGTTCACTGCCCATTTGATAAACGTTGAGCCATCCACCGTACGCTCGACACCATTCTAACTGGAGTCTAGCTGGATGTATTTAGGGTCCATAAGCCTTTGTTTTGGGATGCGCCAAGGCTATGCAAAACTCCCTGCCTTTGCAAGATCAATATCATAACGGACTGTGGCAGTAAGAGTCATAGGTAAATTGTATAGGGATTTGAAACGCAGCGAATATGAGGAAGGTGTGGCTAACACGTGCTTGTTTTACAAGGTGTCATCTCTGTGAAGACTGCATGAGACGCTGCTGAAATGTTAAATGAGGTGGTGAGGGGAGGCTTGAAGTTAAAATTCCTGGGAGGACAGGAATAAGCTAGGCACAGATCTGAGAGCGGCAATAAAGGAATTACCGCAAAGGGCTTGAGGCTGGGTAAATCCACGACCCACAGAACAGCAAGAAGGTGGAGTCTGGGGGGCAGAGTTAGGGCTTCAGTTGAAATACCTCCAAGACTCATGTTTTGAAAGCTGGCTCCTCAGTCGGCGGTGCTGTTTGTGAGCCTGTGGAACTCTGAGGAGATGGGGCCTGGCTGGAGAGAGTGGGTCACTGACTTAGTCAGTGTTTCTTTTGCTACGACAGAACACTGTGGCCAGAATAACTCAGCGAGGAAGAGGTTTATTTGGTTCACACTTCCACATTTCTGTTCATCACAAAAGGAAGTCAGGAGCCGGGCTATGGTGGCGCATGCCTTTAATTCCAGCACTCGGGAGGCAGAGGCAGGCGGATCTCTGTGAGTTCGAGACCAGCCTGGTCTACAGAGCTAGTTCCAGGACAGGCTCCAAAGCCACAGAGAAACCCTGTCTCGAAAAACCAAAAAAAGAAAAAAAAAAGAAAAGGAAGTCAGAACAGGAACTCAAGCAGGGCAGGAACCTGGAGGAAGGAGCTGATGCAGAGGCCATGGAGGGGTGCTAATCACTGACTTGTCATTGGCTTGCTTGCTTAACCTGTTTTCTTATAGAACCCAGGGCCACGAACCCAGGGATGGCACCACCCACTATGAACTGGGCCCTCTGCCATCAAACACTAATTAAGAAAATGCCTTACAGGCCTACTTACAACCCAATCTTATGGAGGCATTTTCTTAACTGAGGTTCCCTCCTTTCAGATGACTTTAGCTTGTGTCAAGTTGGCATGAAGGTAGCCAGCACAGTCACTAAGAGTAGAGCTGTGGAGATTTTAACCTTGCATCTTTGACGCAAGCCTCTGGGATCTTGGGGGTGGGGTTGGGTCTTGTAATACAACTCAGTGAGCAGGAAACTGAGCAGGCAATCTTCTATAAGGATCTAACGTCAGAAGGAAAGGCTCGGCTGTAGACAGACCGGAAGTGCCAGCTGTGAGGAGCCATCACTTCAGAGTCCAGAGGGTTGAACAAGATTCCAGGCGAGGGACAAGGAGGGCTTTGTCGCCTTTGGTTCTCTCTTAGTGGGTTGCAGGGAGCTCATTGCAGTAAATGTAAGAAGGGATGTGGGAGACAACTGACTTCAATCAGGACAGCTAGCTCTTCGGCTCTTAGCTCTAAGGCAGTGGTTCACAACCTTCCAAACGCTGTGACCCTTCGATACGGTTCCTCATGTTGTGGTGACCCCCTAGACATAAAATTATTTTTGCTGCTACTTCAAAGCCGTAATTTTGCTCCCATTATCAATAATGACATAAATATCTGATATTTCTGATGGTCTTGGGAAACTCCTGCGATAGGGTTGTTCCCCCCAAAGGGAGGTCCACAAATGGGCAGTGAGCAGGTCTTTCTTCCTCCATGTGGGTCCTGGGGATGGAACTCAGGTTGTAACTCGGCAGCAAGCCAGCGCCTTTCCCCACTGAGCCATCTCAAGGGCTCTGATTTTAGGGTCAGCTTAAGAATTTCCAGCGGATCCCACTTCAGTGCAGACAGACTCTGCGGGATTTGTTCCTTGGCTTTGTTCACGTTCACATCCTCTTCGGCTGCGTGATAAAGGTGTTATTAATCATTCGTTGCTACCATGATAATTGTATTGTCTGCAAGGTCAGGTTTGATTGATGCTCTCTCTCAAGGTTAAGGTCCTGCCAGCTGGCTTCTTGGTTGAGCAAAGGAATGCCGTTTAGAATCGACTGCAACTTTCTGATTTTGAGTTCAAAAAGAAAAAAAAAAAAAAGAAGAAGAAGAAGAGAAAGGCAACTAAAGCGTGCGAGTGTTTTGAAAACAACCAATAATGGATGACATCCATAGTCCAAACAAACTCAAAAGGCGCAGCACTGAAAAAGAAAGAAAGACAGCCTGGTGGTTTGATGGAGAGTGTCCCCCCATGTTTTCAGGCACTTGAACACGAGGGTGGCAGCTGCTGGCCCTGTTTGGGACGGTTAAGGAGGCACAGCCATGCTGGAGGAAAGATGTCACTAGGGGTGGCCTTAGAGATTAAAATGTTTCTGCCATTTCCCATGTCTCGCTCTGCTTGGTGACCGCAGTTCAAGATGTCAGTTCTCAGCTTTCTGCTCCCGTTGCCAGGATGGGTTCTCATCCCTGCGGAACTGTGAACCTACGTAAACCCCGCCTTCTCTAAGGTGCCTTGCTTATGCTTAGCCACGTCAGTGGAGAAGTAACTAATACAGATGCTTTTCTCAGTTCAGGGAGCCCTTAGTTGGGTCTGTGCTCCTTTTCTGGATAGGACAGTGTGGATTGATGCCCGGGGCTAGTTTGTCATCCCTTTTCTTTACAGAGATGAAGTGAAGCGAGTTGTCTTCCTGTGAACCGTCAAGCTGACAACCCAGGTATTGCTGAGCAGGAGGAAGAGCAGGCCAGAGGCCCGCAGTTCTGGACACGTGGGGATTTCTTTCCAGTTACTTCCGCTCTCAAATGAGGCCGCAGGCTCAAAGCTTAATGAGGATGGTATGTATCTTCCGCCTTGTGCTGCCATAGCCTGTTATCAGAGACTAGATGGTTTAAGAGAAAATATATTTATTTCTCATTGGTCTAGAGGCTGGGAAGCCTAATATCAAAGCCCAAGCAGGTGATGGCTCAGCTTCTCACTCTGACCTAGAATGAGACCCCATACCACAGTGGGAGAGCATGCTGGGGGAAACCCACTCATACCACAAACCAGGCTGCAAAGAAGAAGAGGCCAGAGTCCCACAGTGCCCTCAAGACATGCCCTCAAAGACTGCTACTAGGTCCCACCTGGGACCAAACCCTTTGCATATGGCCCCTTGGGGGACACTTATTCAAACTATAGCAATGGCCCAACTGGCTAACTTGCTTATCATCTGTCTGTCATTTACCTGTCATCTATCAATCATCTGTATATCTATTTATTTATATGAGACAGGGTCTTGCTGTGTAGCCCAGGCTGTCCTTGAACTAACAATAATCCTCTTGCCTCTGCCTCCAGAGTAATGGGATTACTGACCTGAGTCATCATACCTGACCAGCTTGCTTTTATAAGCTATTTTATAAGATACTTTTGTGAAAATAAACTTATCCCTGAGATACTAATATTTATCAATTATGAGTGGAGGACCCTGGTGACCTCTGAGAGGTCCTGCCTCCCAGCAGTGGGATCAAGTTCCAACATGTGAACTTCTTAGTGCTTCCTCTGCTCACACAAGGTGGCATCATGGGAAAGGTGTTTTCACCCCTCGTGAAGAAGCTGGAGATTCTAGTTCTTGTTACACTTAAAGTGATGGGCATTTTACAACTCCACATTCCCTTGAACCTCCGTTTGTATAGAAAGGAGAATGAGCTTTCCATTTAAGTGCCACAGATGTGCGCTGCTCAAAGAAATGTGGACTTGCAATTTTATTTTAAGCATAAAAATAAAAAGGCAAGGTGGAAATAGTCCTCATTAATATCAAGAGATGAATGGGTAAACAAAACGTGGTATGCCCATACATGGAATATTGTTAACCTACAAAAAAGAGCAAAGTACTGGGTTCATGCTGCAATTTAGAGGAGCCTTGGAAATATTATGCTAGGTTAAAGAAACCAGGTACAAAGGCTGTACGATAGGCTCTGATTTGCATAAAATATCCATAAAGCTCAATGGCCAGAGAGTATAGTTGCCTATGGTGAGGGGAACTACAGAAGTAAGGAAGGTTTCCATTTTTCTTTTTTCTTTTTCTTTTTTTTTTTTTTTGCTGGGAGACTTTTGATGACTGTTTCTATTTCATTTTTCTTTTCATGTATTAGATTAAAAAAGTGATACTCGCCCAACTTTGTGAATCCTGTATATTAAAAACTGTTGAACTGTATACTTTAAAATGGCCAGTCTTACGGTGCGTAAATTATAGCTTAATGTTATTTTTAAATTTAACATTGTATTTATTTATTAGTCATGTGAAGGTGAGGTATGGTTGCCTTAATGTCTTTGGAGATTGGAGGACAACTATTAGAAAACTCTTCCCTCCTACCATGTAGATTCTAGGGATCAAACTCAGGTCATTTGGGCTTAGTGGCAGATGCCTTTATCCACTTAGTCATCTTTTGGCCCTTGCCTCTTACCAAAGAAGCCAACCCCATCATGCCCAGACTTCCGACCTGTAGAACTGTGAGATCATAAGTGGGTATTAAGCTTTGAAACCGGTACGAATTTGTTATGTAGTAATGAATACAAATGTATCTGAATATTAGTTGTTTAGTTACAAATAACTTGATGTTACCATAATAATAGTAGTTAAATCACACCCGGGGGCTCGCTGAGTCAGCTATAAGCACTTACAGCTGCACTCTTGGGAGCTGTGCATTACTCACCATAGAAAAGTGGTATGTGAATCTTTCCTGGGAAGATCTGAATAAATGCCTGTTTACCCAGCTGCAACTCAAGGCAGATCAAAGCAGTGACCCACCCAAATCCAACTTCGTGAACTGATGAGTTTTGGGGATTACCCACAAGAGGATGGTTCGAGCACTGCTTACACAAGCAGAGATGACTCAAGAGAACCGCATTACTGAATCACTAGAAGCCCACGTAAGCCTGGGTGATGAGACACCGAACCTGCATCCCTGAAGGTTCCTGAAAAGTTCTCAGGCAGCCAAACTTGTCACTGGGTCTCCTCTCCTCCTTTCCTTAGTGCAAAGGCAAAGAAAACACTCGATGGTTAAAGGGAGCAGTCATAAGTGAAGTCAGAGGTAAAGGGTCTCCTGCTGGTCAAGACTCTTCACACTGGGTTGAAATTGGTTTGCTGAGGCAGGATCATGGATGCCGAGGCCAACCTTAGTCTAATGCCCTCAATTAATTATTTTAATGTAATAAATTGTACACCAGTAGAGAGGTAGAATGCTAACACAGTGCTCATCTTTGAGACAGCTGTGTGCAATGAGAAGTAGAACCTTGGCATTGACTTTCCCCTCCACGTGGGTTACAGCTCCCCTCTCCCGACCCCCAGCCTCTGTGAGGAGGAAGCTGAGTAGAGAGTACACAGGACTCTTACTGTTTTTGCCACTTCCTGTGAGTATTTATTTCAAAACAGAACATTTATCTTGAGGCTAAAAAGGCAGAAAGCATGTTAGCACCCACAGATGTTCTTTCCTCCCCGCCTTGCCCTCTATGGGCTGATTAAATGTGAGATGAGCTTGTCTGGCAAACGAGGACTGTGAATCGGGCCTGCCTCTTCACTGTCCCCGGATGTTAAAGAGGAGAGGGCCTAATAATGAGGGGCACTCAGCTCAGACCTTCAGGGCTCTTGGCTTGCAAGTTCCCTTAGATCAACACTAGCTCCTTACTGACTTCTCTGGATATGAGGACGAGCAGAGAAAGTAGCTGTGTGTGCAGTTATATGATGGATGTTCCCTACAGTCAACGCTCAGCTCCATGTGCTGTGCATGTATGTATATGTGTGTGTGTGTGTGTGTGTGTGTGTGTGTGTGCATGCATTCTTGTGCATGCATGTGTATGTGTAGGTTAGTACTTAAGAAAGGATCCTTGCTCTATTTCTGGGAAGTATTCCATCCAGGAGCTTTCCTGAACTTTCCATAGCCCCATGTGCCACCAGATTCCACAACCTATTTCTCCCTCTTGTATTCGTCTGCATATTTAGTACAGTGGAAACAGTGTGTCCTGCTTAGTACAGTCTACGTTCTAGGTGTACAATAACCTGGAAGAATACTGGGCTGTTGGCAGTTGTCTAGCGGATTTGTGGACTTGTTCCCTGGCATGATCAAAGAATTGAATGCTGGCAAAGGACAGAAGACAGAGAAAGCGAACACCTTGGCCTTTCTGGATGGGAGGAGCCCAAGGCCGTGAGTCTGCTCAATTCTCTGGCTTCTGTGTTTTATTGGGCCCCTATAAATGAGAATGAACCACACATCGCTTGCACATTCTCAGAAAACTGAAGGCACCAGTGGCCACGGCAGGAAGGCCCACATCCACACACAGTCAGTCCGCTGGGTAGAACATACCCAGTCAAGAGCATTTGGCAGAAGGTTGGGATCTAGAGGAAAGGGCCTGAATCAGGTGTCAATGTGTCTGAACCATGCTTCCTGCTGCCACCCTAGAAAAGAACCCTAACATCCTTTACCTTTGGGGTACTTCCTAATCTGTGCCTGCCTCATGATGGTTTAAAGGCTCAGGGTACTTCACAATCTGGACTTGGATATTAACCACAAAAAATGCATCAAGTTTTTTTTTTTAAATGTGTATGGGTGTTTGGGCAGCATGATGTCTGTGCATAATATGCATTCAGTACCCACAGAGGCCAGAACAGGGCATCAGGTCCCCTGGGACTGGAGTTATAGGTGATTATGACTGCCACACAGTACTGGAGATTAGACCCCTGTCTTCCGGAAGAAGAGCAAGTGCTCTTAACTACTGGGCCATCTCTCCAACTCCAAGAAATGAATTTGAATAGAGTTATCAGTAAATTATAAAGTAAAAGAAATAAAGACTTTGTAGATCAGGCTGGGCTTGAACTCATAGAGATCCACCTGCCTCTGCCTCCCAAGTGCTGGGATTAAAGGTGTGCGCCACCACCACCCAGTGAAATAAAGTATTTAAAAAATGAAACCAAAACCAAAAGGAAATGGTAAGGTACATGTGTTAGGCTCTGCCCTGTGAGTGGGTGCAGCCAAGTAGGGTTTTACTGATGGTTAAAATTTTCAATGACCTGTAAAAGCATGGAGAGACTCAAAACAAAATGAGCACACCTAGCTGTTGCCAGGGTGGCACAGCCGGTCTGAAAATGAAGCAACATCCCAGATGTTACTTGACTCTCATCCAAAGAATAAGCCAACATCAGGACCAGTGTGGTAAGTGAGAACTCAAGGTCTAGGCAGATGTGTTCTGCTGAGCATCTTCTCACTCCAAATAAATGCAGGTCTCCTGATCTGAAGAGATGACCCTGAGGAGCCCAGGGAGAGCTGAGCCCGGTGAAGCATCCCCTGTGCCTCCTGAGGACTGGAAGACAAATGGCAAGATTGGCAAGGAACAAACAGACAGGGGCAGAGGTGACAGCTCAGCGGATGAAACACTTGCCTTGCAATCAGGAAGGACCTGAGCTCAATCCTCGGAATTCATGGAGGGGGGGGAAGCTGGGTAAGGTGGAGATGGGTGGATCCTTGGGGCTCTCAAGCCAACCAAGCCTAATTCATGAGTTCCATACCAATGAGAGACTGTCCCAAAAGTTAATAAATTCAAGTGGTGTCTGAGGAGTACCATCCAAGATTTTCCTCTGGCCTCTGCTCATGCGCACAAGCAAGTGTGTGTGTGTGTGTGTGTGTGTGTGTGTGTGTGTGTAACAGATTAAATTTTTTTTAAGAAGGAAAATGACATTTCTGTTTGGTGAGCTTGCACAAGTCCCAAAGTAAGATTCTGGTATATTTATCAAGCATATAATTTGTGTTGATATCAATTCACCAAGAAGGGAGTGTGCACCATAAACCCAAATCTCTTTTCTGATAAGCTTGCCAGCGCACAAGACTCAGATTTATACAGCATGTCTGGCCGTCACTAAGGTGACTCATGGCTTCCTCTTTGCTCTCATAGATTAGAGGAGTAAACAGAGACTGTTATGATGTGAAAGCTGATGCGGATGGATCAAGGATGATGAAGTTGGACATAAATCCCTGGTGATTTACCCTGGATCCCATCCCCGGGGCCAGCTCACTTGATGCATCGTTGTATTAACGATGCAACAAACTGCATTAATGGGAAGCCAGCCAAATTTCAACGAGAACAGACACTGGACGGATATTCAAGAGAGACTGAGGTAGATGAGTATCAGTATCTTAACCTTCTTGGCTGACTTACACGACAAGACAAAATCCTAGAGAAATAAGCGAGCAGCCGCCTTATGCTCAGTGTGACAAACCTAGCGAGGGAAGACACACGTAAGGGAGGAACTGTAGTGTAGACCAATCGCCTGCTGGTATCCTGAGCTCTTCTGTGCCCTCATTTCTACAGTGTAAATGAGTGATTCTGAAAGTCATCTGGATGTGCTGGGGAGATGCAATGAGCTAATATTTAGAGGGCGTGCACAGTAATCTACTGTCTAATAAACACTGCACGTGCCAGTTACTGTTTCCTTATTGTTCTTGCAACACACCAGTTTCAGAGTTTCATGTGGGCAACCTTTCAGTCAGAGAGAGCATTGCAACTGGACTGGTAAGAAAGCGCATGGCGAAGCCGTGTTCGTACTGTGGATGCTTTAGTGCACGTACTCCTACGGAAGTCCATTTTATCAGGGTGGTGGGTGTGACGGGAGGGCGGAGCGAGCCTGGAAAGGAAGCAGAGTCCCCAGGAAGAAGCTTTACTAGCCTCACCAGTGATTATCAGCGCCAGGTGACTCAATCAAGGTCACCAAATCAGCCAAGAAGACGCAGGCTGGCCCCACCTCAAGAGTGTCAGGATTTGGACCTAAATGGCCTCCATAGGCTAGTGTATTTGAACACTGGGTTTCTAGCTGGTGGTGCAGAGATGGCGGAACTTTGGGGAGGTGAGATTTAGCTGGAAGAAGTAGGACTTGAGGTGGGGGTGGGACGCTGATAGCCCTGTCCTAGCTCTGTCTTCTCTGTCTGCCTTCCTAGACCGGTGTGATGTGAGCCAGCAGCCTTGCTCTCCTGCCGCCGCAGCCACGAACCCGTCATGCCTCCACCACTTCCCCTCCAGGATACGCTGTCCCTCCAAACAGCACCTTCCCTGCTGGATGCTGCTCCTTACCAGGTACCTGCTACTTATCAACTCATAAGGGAAGTTTAGCTGTGAGCCACGGTCTTACGTTGGTCAGAGGTTTGCTATGTGAGTGTCTCGGGATGGGAGCGGAGCAGGGGAACAAGCCCTCCAACTCTCAGTACTGGAGCATGTTGTAGAAAGGGAGGTAAGGTATAACGGTGGAGCACGAGGAGCAAACAGCTAGCAGCGTACGCCTGCATGGTACCTGTTCGGAGTTCACGAAATGCTGGAAATAGTAACCTAGGGCTTTGGTGACAGGTGAAGCCTGGATCATCAGCCCAAGAGGCCTGGAGGTGGTTCCTGTTTTCATTAAATCAGTGGCTCTAACCTTTCTAATGCTGCAACCCTTTCATACAGTTACACAGGTTGGGGTGACCCATGACCCCTCTACCAGAAACTTCTTTTTTGTGCTACTTTATAACTATAATTTTGCTACTGTTATGAATCATAATATAAATATCTGTATCCCCTGATGGTCTTAGATGACCCCTGTGGAAAGTGTCATTCGGCTCCAAAGGGGTCACGACCCACAGGTTGAGAACCACTGTACTAAGGCCTGGTCAGTCCATACCAGAAAATGGAGTCGGTGTGTGGAAACTCGACGGAAGAGAGTCAAAGACAAAGCTGGAATTTGCCCAGGATGATTGGGTGTAGGGGTCACCATCCGTTTCCTTCACCTTGTGAAGATCCTGGAAGAAAGCATTCTAAACAGACCTGAAAATAGTTTCATGCAGCTTCAAATCCGCTAGGCGTCTTGACCAGAGCCCATAGGTGGAGGTTAAATCAGTAGCTGTCAACTGAATGTGAAGAAAGGAATTGGAGCAGCGCAGCCGGGCATGCGTGAGCAGTTGGGGGCCATCATGAATCTCTGTTTTGTAGCGTGGTTAGGTGTGGGTGGGCTGGGAAAGCCGTGTTGGCTTCTGTCGCCTCCGGTCCGTGTTCCCTCACAAAAGACAGAACCAGTCACAGAAAGTGGGGTTCTGGCGGCAGCAGAGTAAAGAGAGTGGGGGCTGGTGGGGGGAAGTTAGCAAAATTAGAAATGCTAATGAGAGACTTTTGTTCAGAAAGATGTAAGGAAGGCTTCATAATGCTTAGTATATATAATAAGCCTGCATGAAATAATTATTAATTAGCAGTAATTTTATAGCTTCAAAAATAACAGGTTTGATGTCCTTGGGTCATGATCTGGTAACTTTGGAATCAAAATGCCAATGTAATGTTCTCCTGATAACGAAAGTGTGACCTTGCAATGGAATACATTAGTTAGTGCATATATGTATGGAAGCTGTTTAAGTACTTATATACTTATATTTAAGTACGTATCTTCCTGGCTCATCTTCTGTCCACCTTAGTGTGGACAAAAACAGCAAAATCAATAAGCACATAAGCAAGCAAGGGTTAAGGAAAAATGGGTGCATGGAAACCAAGCTCTCCTGAGCCTTGGCCAGGGACAGATAAATGGGCAGGACAGCCTCTTCTCCACCTAAGAGGTTGCAGGAGCAAAGAAGAGTGTGGGAGAGGTGGACGGGAGCATCCAAGTCCATAGCAGACCCAAGAAAGCATCATAGTAAACAGAATTTCTTCATGCTGGGATTACATCCGCAACAACTGGTTGCTCCCCATTGCGCAATGAGGATGATGCGGGCTGTCTCAGAGAAACAGCATGATCGGAGCAGAAGCGGAACAACCGCTGCTCTGAAAATCTTCTCCAGAATCTTTGCTGGAGCCCCTGGGGTGCTGGCAGAAGGTGATGATTGGCGGAAACGGCGCCTTCCGACTCCCAGACTGTGGTACCCTCCAGCCTCCTAAGGATGGCAAGGAAACAAAAATAAAGGAAAGAAAGACCAGACCATCTTAAATCTTTAAAAAGTGGTTGATGGCTGCTTTGTTGGTACTGGGAGGATGGATGGAACCGAAACTTTGTCGCAATGGGGCCAGGAGTGAGGGGGTGTCACGTTGTCTCTCCCTAGATGATATTTAATCTACATTTCTGTACAGAGTACTTCTGCCTCCGTATTTATTTGTGCTCCGTGGCAGAAGGGCAAGTGCTGGCCCTGGCCTTCAATCCCAGGCAGCACTTCGGGAGATTTTCGTGCAACGCTTTTATGGTTTTTCCCCAAGTTATTTTTTAGCTTCTGTAGCTTCCACTCAGCAGGTGTGAAATTAGAAGTTAATTCTTTCTGCTTTGTGCTTTGGATTCTCGCAGCTCTGAGAAGGAGTCGGAGTTCCTTTAGGTCTCTGTATCTTCCCATGGTGGCCGAGATGGCTAGCGCCCACTAGAGATATACCTTCTGGTTCTGTGCAGTAGACCGGTGGCTGGCAGGTGCTGCTCAGCTAAGGAGCACGTTGCCCAGTTTGCCCAGCCCTGTGGGCTTTGCTGGTGCTATATAAACTATTTAAAGGTGATGTTCTGAAGAAGGTAGATTCGCTTTCTGTCTTCCAACTGGATCCCAGAAGTGAATGACTTTAAGGTCCTAAAGCAAGGTGGCGCCACAGGGCCACAGGAGGCTGGTTCCTGAATAACTGTCTTCCCAGCACCAGCCCAGGCACCCCGGTAAGAAGCACCTACTCCATCGACTCCCAAGACCTTTGTAGTTTGTTCCAGCATAGGCTAGTACCTTCTTGACAACCGCATCCAAGTTTGTTTGCAGAACAAAACAGTACATGCTATGTCCAAACTTTTGAGTGCATGTGTAGAGGTGTTTTCTGGTTTTCATGTGTTTGGTTGAACTTCTTTCTGGAATCTGAAGATGACACCTTGCTATCACTGGTCAAATGCTCTATCCCCAGACCTCTTGTATGTGTTTGTTTTTATTTTAAGCCAAGGCATCCTAAGTTGCTTAGGCTGGTCTTGAACTCACTATACCATATTGTAAATATCTGATATGCAAGCTATCTGATATGCCACCCCTGGTTGAGAACCGCTGCCTTAGAATTGATGAACCGGTGTTGATGCCCTTATTAACTACAAGCCAAAGCTTATTTGAATTCGCCTAATTTTTACATAATGTCCTTTCCGTACACCACCCCTGAGTTTGAGACAGGGTCTTGCGATGCAGCCAAGGTGCATCTCACACCTCAGATCCCCCTGCCTCACTTTCCTTAGTGTAGGACATGTGTTTGTCTCCTGAGGCTCAGGGACAGTGAACTGGGACAGTGGGACCTTGCTCGCAATTAGATAATACATGTAGCTTCCCCTGGTACTTTGGAGACAGAAATGCATTTTAAAAACCTTCCACATTTGTGTAAAATATACAGAAAACCAACGAGCACCATGCCTGGTCCTTCTCCAGTCTTGAGACGTTAGACTAATGGAAAATAGCAGCTTGTTTGGACCTTGAGGAAGTGGCTCCCACTGTACTGACTGGAAACGTACAAGCAAGCACGTGTAGTTGTGGGCAGAAGACAGAGCCAGGGTGATTTGTTTCAAAGCGTGTCTGCAGGCCTATCAGGGAGACAAGCATGCCAGCCTGATGTCATTAGCAGGTTATGGGGCAACCATGAAGTCTCAGGCTGGGAAACACCCGGCCCGGGGTGGGGGCCATGAACCTGATTCCTGTTAGATTGTATCTGAAGCAGTCAGAGAGCAGCTCAGCAGTTTGAGATTTAAATGCCAGAAATGTTCTTCCTGAACAGAACTGAAGAAATGAACCCCAGATGGTGTTTCTTATTCAGGGCACACAAATACCTCCCATAAACACCAGACAAAGATATAGAATAAGAATAAACATCTAGAGCTCAGAAAAGATGTCTGGAACAACAAAAAAAAAATCAACAACTTGAACCCACTAATCATAGCAAAGAAGAAACGCTGGCACCTGCCAGGCAGGCAGATTTATTTAGTTAGTAGCCATCTCCAATCCTAAACAGAACTGGGATCCTCTCAGGAAAGAGTTTGGAAATATGTTACGTCATGCACATGTGCACATGTGCACACACACAACACACACTCACACCCATCACCTACACACACTCACACATGTGCACACACGTGTTAATGTATGGACTGATGACTGCAAGCCTGTGAAGCAGAGTTAATTCATTCTCTGTGGTGCGCGCTTCAGAACGACCCAGACGTCTCAAGAAGTTGACTTTTGCAAAAGTTGCTCCTGCTAAAACCTTAGGTAATCAGAAAATCTGATTAAGAAGAAAATTCCATTATTGTTTAGTATCTGAGCCAGTGACTCCCTTTTGTCTCCCATTCTCTGGCCTCGAGCACAGGTATTATATTAACATGTTATATTATATGTAACACAGTAGGTTAATGTCTGTTCATCATAATAACTATGAATAAGACCAATGCTCCTATAGTGCCATTCAGTAGTTAGCAGCTGTTGTCTAGGATGTTGGTTTGTATATTCTGGGATGAATTTTTCTGAACCACAAATCAGTTTTTGGTAGGTTGATGATAGATAACTCAAAATGTCAGGTTTTCCTAGAAATCTAGCATGAATTCTGAGTCCCCCACCCCCTCTCTCTCTGAGCTCATCCTTTCTGATATGGGATGCCCCTCTGTGTGCTGTGAATATATTTTATTACCATTAGTTAATAAAGAAGCAGGTTTGGCTGATAGCTAGGCAGAATAGAGCCAGGCGGGAAATCCAAGCAGAGATACAATAGAAGGGCAGAGACTGAGTCTGAGATGGAGTCTGAGAGACACCATCCAGCTGCCCAAGGAACAACATGCCAGAGCACCACCGGTAAGCCACGGGCCGTGTGGTGATACACAGAGGAATAGAAATGGGTTAATTTAAATGTAAGAGCTGGCTAACAATAAGGTAAATTGTTATTTACCTTGTAAATAAGGTAAATAAAATAAGGTAGTTTGCCTGAGCTACTGGGCAAACATTTATAATTAACACTAAGCCTCAGAGTGGTTATTTGGGAACTGGAGGGTGGGAGAGAAACCTCTCCTTACATCTTTCCATTTGAGCCCGTACTGAAATGGGACAGCATGTCACTTGGATCCAGTAGATCGGCCTGTGAGAGAA